GACACACTGTGTTGGTCAACTGCTCGACAGGATCCTCCAAGAGGGCCGCGTGAAATCCAGCATTGACAATGGCCTCACAGATAGTCTCTACCTGGGAATCTACTAGTGTTTAATAGAGTGTATGATGAGATGGTTGTCACTCCAGTCTCTCTCGCAGCAGTGCTCGCCCTCTCACTTCTAAAGAATAAAGAAAGAACTTACATCAACCAACCTAGGCCACTGCTACCCTGGGAGTCTTTTGAGAGCCTTTTAGCAGTGCATTCCATGCCAGTTACCTTGGAGGAGACGTTCTAGGGATCGTCCCTGCCGTTCGTCCCTGCCATTCGTGCATGGCAATGTTGAATTACAGCATTGACATGGTAATCGTCAATGGATTGCCGTTGCCTGATCCAGTGGCAGTGCTCCTGCCCGCAAGCTGTCCATCCCCTCCCTCGCCACCCTTGCTCAGACCTGGTCATTAAAAAGGCATTGAAGCAGCTCTATGCGATAAACTGGTACAAGATTGATCGATGAGAAAACAGCCAACATTGTTGAGGAGACTTTGAGTTCCGGTAGGGTACCACCGATCACACCATTCTCAAAGATATGTGGTTGTCGGCCCATCTCATATGACATCAACAGGTGATTGCTTACAACAAAAGATGGTCAGTCAAAATCATTTTTCACAAAGCTTACTTCTGTGCTAGAAAGCACTCCATCTGCTTGATAATTGCTCCGAAACAGAACCATCATTAGTATTGATATAGCATTTAAAAAAAGAAAGAAGGAAAAACAAAAGCTTTAAGCTTGTCTCAATTAATCCACCTCCCTATCTATTCCTATATTATAAGCACTCATGGTGTCCAGGAACAAGGAACATTGCAAATTGTCCTTGAAGGGCAAAGTTTTTTGTAATGTATTGCTTTAGTGTTTGGGATTATGATTTTATTTCTTGATTCTCTTGTTCTTTAGATTTAGATTTCTTGTATGTGTTGCCATGTATCTATTAAATTTGCTTTTCCTTTAACCTTCTTTACATTATCCTTCTTTCACTATGCTATGCATTGTTGATCAAGGAGTGTATCATTGCAGGTTGCATATATTACTTTGTTGTCTTCATTTGGCATTAATGAGCTTTTGGTGCTGTGAGACATGAAGTTAAAAGATGATTTTTTATATTTATTATTTATTTATTTTATTATCTAAAAGAAAATTAAAGTAAATTAGGTTAATAGTATGACATAAAATGCTAATAAAATGATTATTATCAGAAATAGATAGAAAAGGAAATGATTATCCTTCTAAAAATGAGAATCTATTTGTTATTCAGTTTGATAGATTTCAAGTTCAATTAACTTTTCAATGAATGGAAGGTAATCCACCTTTATGTTCATGAGGATATAATTCAAACTTATTAGTTAAAGGAGAATGGTTAAGTTTAGAATTAAGAAATATATATAATTCATACCAAGAAGTTATGTTAAATTCACGTCTACTAGTTGTAGAATTACAACATGTATATACCAGTTTGAATATATTATTATTATTCTAAGACAGTATAATAGAGATTTAGCTTGTAATTATGAAACATTTTTCAAAAGGACAAAAATCTATATATACTCTAGCTACTATGAATCTTCTTTTAAATTTTTTTATATTTTATTTCTTATCAAAAGAAAAAAATTAAGATAATTAGAATATTAAAATTATAGTTAATTTTTATTAGAATATATAAAAGAGAATAAACTTTTTGTAAACGACAGAATATATTGTCGTATTTAAAGCTTCATTTAAATTTGTAATTATGAATACTTATACCAAAATTATGAAAATAGTTTATGTTTTGATTATGTGGAATTTTCTTATAACATTCATTGACTGCTTTATTCAAACTGATAATGTAAGCTAATTTCTGAAGTTTTTCTTTGTTAATTCCTTCTTAACCGTTTAGTGCTATGGATTACTATATCATTGTCCAGATGTTCAATTGCTTGGAGATAGTGTTTTACAAGCAAATTGTCCAAATGATGTGGAACTAGATTTAGAATACTATTTAACAAATGTAAATGGAAACATTCAAGCTATTACTGTGGGATCACATGATAATGGTTATTTTACACATTCATGTCAAGGTACAACACTTGAAGGATCCATTTTAAAAACACAATGTGCTTCAGTAACTTCTTATCTTCATTACACAACTATTGACTTGAACTTATGGATTTCTTATCAAAATAACAAGTTAGTGTTTTGTAATCAAAATAGAGATCAGTAAAAATTCAACTTTATCTTATTTTCCTGAGGAGTAAAAAGTATTTATATTAATAAACACAACTGATTGCATGCTCCTTTTATCACACTTTTATGACACCCATGTTGTTCCGATGCACACCACAAAAATGTACTATATATCTTCAGTGGCCATTCAAAATCCTCTTTATCTTGAGGATCACTTTCTTAAGTTCTTGTTGTTTCAATGAAGATCTATGTCACTTCCAGAATAATTGGCTAATGCATTGCTTCATTTTCAAAGACGAGAATAGAAAACATTGCCCAAGATGCTAAAAGAACCAAAACTCTTGTCATAAAGCCACCTTTTATTAAACGATGTTGCTGCAATCCAAACAACTATGATTATCAAATAAAACAAACTTTAGAAATTATTCTTTCCGCCAGCTTCAAACTTGAATGCTTATTTTATGCCTTCGCATCAAATGGCGTTCATAGCAATGCTACTGCTGCTCCTCCTTTCACAAGTTCATCAAACCATATGTTAAGGAACACAAGTTTAAAGAGTTCTTTGTTTGCCATTCAATCAGTTATGCTGCGGTGCCTTTTTTAACAGCTACAAGGACCATAGATACTTTCCCGATACTGACATACTCGAAGCCGACTTCTCTGGCACAGCACGACACTGCTCGCTCACAAATATGTAAGGAAACACTTATAACTTTGCTCGAAAATGTGATTGTTCTTTGTTTGCCATTCAAGGATCCCAAATACCATCTTAATACCGACGTACTCGAAGCCAACTGCTCTGGAGAGTATTCAGCACGGACACTGCTCGATAACACATTCACAAATCTTAATGGCAGCCTGGCTTATGGCAGAGAAGGTGGTTTTTGGGCCACTTGCAGCGACATTGCTCTTGTTGGTTCGAATCTGGAGGCTACCTGAGGCGCAGATGGTAACTGGCCAGCATAGAACAAGCATTGACCTCAACTCGCACATAAGCAACGACCATGGAAACTTCGTCATTTGCAGTCGCTACGGCCTCTAGTGAATTGAGAGAAGCACCAAAATCAGAAAGAATAAAATCAAAAAGGATTTATACATTTCAAGCTTAAAGATAACGATCTGCTGCTAAAGTTTGACGAGTTTACTCTTGTAAGTCGTCCATATGGTCCTTGAATCCAATAACTAAAAACAAGCTTAAGCCACTGTCCAGAGAGATGGAAAAAGAAAACTGACGAGTACCTTTTTAGCTTTTGCCAAGATAGCTCCAGAGCATGACATTTCGTGAGATTTTACTAGCAATGCAGCATTCCAGCATGCTCTAGAGATCTTTCGTCAAGCAAAACCATTCTTACCTACTACTGCCAGAGTTTTCTATGACTTGGTGTTTTGTTGAAAGTGGCTATATACCACAACAGCCAATCAAAAAGACCAAACATTGAAGTCTAAAGCGCACTACTCAAGCCACGATTAAGCTTTCACTGGTGAGTTTGGGATCTAGTTTTCTTTTGAGTGGCTTTCGGAGCAGGAAACACGGCTGACTTGTTTCAAGCCGTGCATCTGCCATTAAGTCGAGAGATTAACTGTCTGGTTATTGCATGTTTTTAGTTATCTTACATACTTCCGTACTTTCCAGATCGAAACTCACTGTTTTTAAGTGTATTTACATCTCCAATACCTAGTTTCACTCTACTAAGTCCCTGGGAGTCATCTTGTTGAACATACTCCACACATATGTGAGTGCTATATGTGGATATCAGAATATGCAGTGTCTAAACCCCTATTTATATACCAAAATAGATTTGCTAACAACAATGATAGAAATAAAAACCTAAAGCTATAGCACAAGCATTAGTCAACTATAGAACTAATAAATTAACTACCACTCAATATGTGATTGTAAAATACTCAAACCAATCTCAATTTTGAACCAAAATAAAGGATTTTAAGAACTATTTCAATTCACAAAACACCATTGTAACAAATGATATATCCCATTTTTAAATTTGTCTATTAGTCGTCTTCTAATACCATCATTAACTTGGGACTCACTACTATCAACAACATTTATTATTGCATCTTCCCTTTAGTTAACCTTTAAAGCCTATGTTAACTCATATTTATGACTATCATCTTTATCTAGCATTGCACATGGGAAATCAAACTTAAATCATTTATTTTTATATTTTCTTTATCCCCTCCTTAAAGAAAAAAAGTAGAAAGAATTGGGATAAAGAAGAGAAACCAAGAAAAATTAAGGAAGAAACATTGTGAAAAAAGAAAATATGGATAAATAAGCATTGAAAGAAGAATTTTTAAGGCAAAAATGAGAAAATAAAAAGAAATAAATATGCTCAAAACTTGAATAATAAAGGACCTTTTATTATAAGAGACTCTTTCCCAAGTAAAAAGGTTAGATAACAAGGATTATCCTAGTGATTGTATTTCTTAACGTTTCTTACTATATAAAATGATTTTAACTTAGTTTCTTAAAGGACCAAATTTCCAAATATTGCATGGTGGTAAACATAAACCTCAAATCAGATTGGTTTTTCAAGATGATAATTTGAAAATCAGAAGTTAAATAAGCCATGATTTCTAAATAAATCTGATAATTTGCAGCGATTATATCTTTTATTAGAAACCGGGTTTAGAATGACAGTCTCTGGCTGGGAAACAATCATCCTCTCAAGCTAGTTCTCCTGTCAGATGGCAAGAAATCTACTGTAGTGTATGGTGATTAAGAGTTTTAAACAGAAAAAATAACATAAGAAATTGACAATGTCTATAATCAATTTTTGAATGTCTTTGATCATTTATTAGAAAGAAAGGGAATACAACGTTTCAGTTGCAACTGTAACCCTCTGGTTTGTACCACTGTGAAAAATCTAAGCCTTGGTTGACCAAAGTTTTTGTTGCAGGAGATATTCTGTCCAATAGCTGCAACCAAAAATTAATCAATAAACTAGAATATTTGCAACTACTCACTTTGGGATGTATTACACCATTTGAAACTAACACTGAGCGATCAAAAACCGAAAACTCCCCACCATCCATTTTAGTTACTTTCCCTCCTGCTTCCTCAACCATCTACAAACAATAAAGTTAAGCTATGGAGTTAATGCAAGTCTAGAACAACTCACCAGGACCCCAGCTGCCATATCCCAAGGTTTCAGTCGGTATTCCCAATACGCTTCTACAATGCCGAGGGAAACATGGCACATATCAACTGCGGCAGCTCCCAGGCGACGAACACCCTGTGTACAGTATTAGTAAGACCAAAAAGAAAATTAGAAAAAGCATTACCCTGCTAACATCCGTGAAATCTTTGAAAAGCGAGATGTTTGTAGCCCATGCTTCGTCATGGTCGTATCCAAACCCGGTAACTAATAGCGACCTTTCCACCTGGTTCGAGAAGCTCTTGTAAGACACAAGAAAGGTGTCGCAGACACACTCACTTGATCAGTGTTACTGACGGATATAGGATTGCCTTCGCAAAAGGCTCCTCCCCCTGTAAGTTTAGTGTGACTTCAGCAAATGAAATGATATCGCAGCTTTGCCTGAAGATGAGGTGAAAGTGCGTGTGACCCAGCAGAACGGTCCTCCCGCGAATTCCACCTACAGTCGGTCCAAATCACGCGAGTAAACATGGGAGAAACAAAGAAAGTCGTAAGTGTTACATACCACTGTTGCAGCTGCTGGTCTTCCTTTGTAAAGGACTGCAACCGAAACAGCAAAACTGGGATATCCGTGAGCAAAATTCGTCGTTCCATCTACAGAAATTCAAGCTTTCAAGGAAAATCGAAGCGAACCATCCAACTTACCAAGAGGATCGACACACCAGAGGTAATCAGAGGATGAGTTTCCAATCACACCACCCTCTTCACCCAATATCAAGTGGTCAGGAAACCTTCGCTGGATTTCTTGAAGCACAGCAAGCTCGCATTTTTTGTCCGTGCTGGAACGAGCGTCAATCAAGGAAGAGAGAAAGAAAGAAATCGAGTCGACATACTCGGTCACGAGATCCGTTGCTCCTTTGTAATCGATTCTGCGCGGCTTGTCCAATGCATCGAGCACAACCTGGCCTCAAAAAGACAATCCATGGCTGAGAATGAGGACAATTCCCTACCGATCGACACCTGAGAGCCAAGCTTCGCTGCCGCCTCGGCACCGGCTAGAAGCTCCTCGAACGGCAGGGACCCCGATCTGGCAGCTCCAATGCGCGAATTCAAGACGCCAGTGCTGCGGCTGGCAGTGATGGCGCTGCAATGGCGCCGCGTTCCAGATCTCCCGGCGCCGCTCCTCTGCGCTGGGAGGCGCGAGGAGTGCTGCCTCGCGAAGCATTCGCCAATGGCGCTAGCCCTAAATCGCAGAGGAGTGGCCATTGGACGATAGTAAAGAGCTCCTTCCCGCTGTCAAGAGAACACGCGTTATTTGCGCTAATGGAGCAATTAGGTAGAGGGAGTGTTCAAACAATATTCCCAGGGTTTTGAGGTTTTCATTCGTCTAGATCTGGCCGGAGCAGCGAAGAGATCTCCCTAGATCTATGGGAATCGTCCGGCATTGAGTGAATCGTCGATCGCGAGCGGCTGAGGAGCTGATCTATCCGCCCGGCGATTCCTTCCAGGTTTTTGTCTGATCGTGTTTACGCTACATTTCGCGAGAGAGCGCTCGCTCGACATGTTAGCGCGAATCGAAGGCATCAATTCTTCTGCTCGATGAGAAAACTTCCCGGGATTTCAAATCGGCTTGCGCGGCATAGCACTGATTCTCCAGGTTTGTGAGCTACTTCTAGAATTTCCCTCTCCTGACTAACTAGTGCCATGGCCAGACCGTAAGGAAACTCTTACCGTGTGAGAGGAAAATCAACGATAGCAATGAAGCACATCCACGTTTTTTCTCTGGAGATGATCCAGAGGATTGCCAGTAGCACCATTTCCATGGCGGCGGTGGTCACTTTAGCGCTGCTCCTCACGCTTCTCGCCATTGGGTATCAACCTCCGGATCCAGTGTTCCAGGCCTCGAAGGTGATGGACCAAGTTGTCTCCACGCTGAGAAACGCTACGTTTGAGAAGGAGGACACGGTTGTCGTCACGGGCGAAGACATTCTAGCTCCAGTTCCTTCTCAAGCACCGGCAGAAATCCTTGGGCCAGCGCTGGAGAAGAACTTGAGCGTCAGCGTTGGAGTTTGTGATCCCGGGACGACGTTTATCAATTGCTCCGACCCAGATGTTTTGGTCGCCATCGAGTTGGCTAACGAGAAGAAGTTCCCCGACATGGGAGTGTTCCAGTATGGAGTTCCTGTTCGAGGCTCGAAGGATTCGACGTGCGACATAGCCTGGAGGTTCAAACCCAGGCATGAGAAGTCTTTGCGGATGTATAGGGATTACAGGGAGTACAAGCTGCTCGTCAACACATCGTGCGACTACGTTGTCGAGAAGATTGGCGGATGGCACTCGGGAAAAAATGCTTTCTTCCAGAGGGATTTCGTCAATGACTCGATATATAACAGGTCATTCAACACATTCTGGAGCGGCAAGTATTTATACTACTCTCGGGGTGGCGACTACTGCAAGAGCATGAACCAGTATATGTGGAGCTTTTTGTGTGCTCTAGGCGAGGCTCGGTATCTCAACAGGACACTCGTGGTGGATCTAGAGATGTGCCTCGAGGGCAGCTACAGTCCCGATCTCAAGCCGCAGGAAGGAAAAGATTTTCGGCTTTACTTCGACTACGAGCACTTGCAGAAGAAAGCTGCTGTAGTCGAGCAGAAGCAGTTCCTAAAAAGGTGGCTGAACTGGAACAAGAAGCATCCGCAGCACCCCCTGAGCTACAGGGTGGTGGAGGATTTTAACGTCACTCCGATGCACTTACGCAGCTTTGAGAACACTATACTCTGGAGAAAATTCGAGCAGCCCGAGCCAAACAACTACTGGTATCGAGTTTGTGAAGGGGAGCCAGAGAAAGTTATCCACAGGCCGTGGGATCTCCTGTGGAAATCCAAGCGGCTGATGAACATGGTCAACTCAATCTGCGGGGAAATGGAATGGGACTTCGATGCTGTTCACGTTGTCAGAGGAAAAAAAGCCGAGGACAAGGAGCGGTGGCCGAACTTGGACAGGGATACAATGCCGGAGGCGATAATGGAGAAGCTAGAAAAGGAAGTAGAGGAGGGCCGGACTTTGTATATAGCCACCAACGAGAGGCTCGAAGGTTACTTCGATAAGCTGCGGGCCAAGTACCGAGTACACTTACTCAGCGATTTTAAGAGCCTCTGGGGTCCGCACAGCCTTTGGTACAACCAAACAATGCCTCTCACAAGGAACAAGCGAGTGGAGTTCGATGGCTACATGAGAGCGGAGGTGGACTCGGAGGTTTTTCTACGTGCAAAGAAGCGCATTGAGACGTTTGGGCATTTGACGAGCGACTGCAAAGATGGTGTCAACACTTGTTAGGCTCCGCTACTAAGACTACTGCGAGGTACATACTTCCCTTCTGTATTTGCGAGTGTGCTTGCAGCGTGTCTTCACGTTCTTCTGTAATGCATGTCATTTCAAGCAGTCACATCTTGTTTATGCTAGAAAATCGGTTCGGCGGTTTTAATTCTGGACGGATGTATCTATTAATATCTTGACATCCTTCGAGGATCACTGATATTGTTTTGAGGAGGATAAAGAGTTCGGAGATTCGGTGATAGTCAACGTTCACTTCTGCTGAGGTTCTGTCTCGACTTTCTTTGTTACCGATGAGGCGACTTGGAAGTGCAGTGAGCTCTGCGTTGTCAAACTGGGTAAGTGATATATCCAAGTTTTCGTTTTCGAAGTTTGTATTGCAGGAAAGCATCTCGTCGCCAATCGATCCCGACAGAATGGCTATCATGGAAAGGTATAGAAGCAGGCGGACACCAGAGGAATGCGCATTGCAGACACCGTTCAACGAGAATGTTCGTTCTTTGCTGGATGCTGTCGACACGCTGAGGCAGCTGTCCGTCGCGGAGGAAGGTATCAAGCTTCCAACTATAGTTGTTGTCGGGGACCAGTCGAGTGGCAAAAGCAGCGTCCTGGAGTCACTCGCTCAGGTGGACTTACCCCGCGGCCAAGGCGTCGTGACACGAGTGCCTCTAGTCCTGCGGCTTCAAAATACCTCCGTCACTGATCAGTCTCACCAGGTAGTTATTCAGTACGGTGGCAAGAAGCGGGTTATCGAGGAAGCTGAGATCTCTGCGGCAGTTGTGGAAGCTACTATCGAGCTTGCCGGAGACAAGCACATTGTCAACAAGCCGATATCGCTGCACATAACCAAGCCGGGTGCTCCTGACTTGACAATGATCGATCTTCCTGGCATTACTAGAGTTCCCGTCCATGGCCAACCCGAGGACATCGAGGAGCAGATAAAGAAGATCATACAGGAATACATTTCTCCGAAGGAAACAATTATCCTCAACGTCATCTGCTCGACGGTGGATTTCCCAACTTGCGAATCGATTCTCATGTCAAGGCAGGTTGACAGGGAGGGTGAAAGGACTATGGCCGTCGTCACCAAAGTGGATATGTCGCCGAAGGATTTGAAGGAGAAGGTGATGGCGGACGTGGTCGGCATCGGCTTGGGATACATATGTGTCCGAAACAGGATAGGTGATGAAACTCATGAGGAAGGCAGAGACAGGGAAGCCGAGCTCTTTCGAACTGATCCCCATCTCAGAGACTTACCCGAGAGCATGCTGGGCATCCGTCAACTTGCGAAGCGGTTGACAGAGTTTCAAGCCGATAGCTTGCGGAAGAACTTACCGAAACTCGTGGGGAACATCCGGAGTGCACTGACCGCCGTGAGGAGAGACCTGGATGCTCTCCCTCAGCGCGTAGCAGACTCCGAGTCGGCGCTGCCTCTGGCCATGGACTGCTACCAGAGCATCCGGAGGTCACTCGAGAGGCTTCTCGCTGGTGATTCTCTACCCGAGTTTCCCGACGACAAGCAGATGAACTACGCTGCTCGGCTCCACGAGTATTTCGTCAAGCTCTCCAGCCAGATCCGTTCTAATGGAGACGAAGGCTCTTCAAGCTCCGGGTCACAGAGAAAGCTGGAGGAGCTCCTTCACGAGGCCAAAGGCGTGACGCTGCCAAACATTCTCCAGTCATCGGTGCTCAAGCAAATGGTGGCCTACAACGTGAAGGAGTTCCATGAGCCGAGCATTGCCACGGTTGACGAGGTTCACAACTACGCAGCCCAGGTGGTGATGCCAGTGATCAGCAAGAAAACCGAGGGGTACCCGAAGCACTGCTCAAGAAGAACATGCAAGGCGTGCTCGAAAAATCCCAGTCGGCGTGCAAGGAGTTCGTCCAGGACAAGCTCGAGAAGGAGACCACCATCACCTTCACTCTCAATCCAAAGTACATGGAGCTGGTCGAGAAGAAGCAGCTCTTGGCGGTATCGGAGATGGATTCTTGCGAGTTGTCCAAGAACAGGATGTACTCCAAATCCTCCAGCTCCAGCTCCACGATGAGGGAGATGAAGAACAGCTTGGATTCGTACATGGAGGTGATCAAGAACAGGCTTTGCGACGAGGTTCCAATGCATCTGCGGTACTCGCTGGACAAGTCGCTGATCGGGGAGTTTGAGACGGTGGTGATGAAGAGCTTTGCGTCGCGGGACAAGTTGATGGAGCTCATGGCCGAGGACACGCAGCTCCAGTACAAGCGAGAGAGGCTCCAGAAGAAGCTGGAAGTTCTCGAGGTGTCGAATCGCACAATCCTAGCAGCGACCACGATCTGATTCGATCGCCACAGAGAAAGGAAACACGAATCTATGTGCTTTACTAAAGGGTTTTAAAACGTAAGGGTTTAAAGAAGAAGGTCTAGGGTAAGCGTCTTGCGCCTTCGATCTCTAGGCGCTGCCGCGATGGACTCCGCTTGATCACCAGCACGTGTCTGCAAGCGTAGCGATCAAAGCGAGCGCATCGATCGAAGGAATCGCAGGAGAATTCGGGCAGAGCTTGGGGTAAGCGGCATTGTCTTGCTTGGCGTGTAATCGTAGCCGTGATTCCCAGCACTTCTAGACATCTAGGTCCTTAAGTGATTCTCAGTGTGACCGAGTTCTTCGTTTCTAGATCAAACGATCGTCAGCTTCTCGTTATCGACGAAAACACTCATGTTTTCCTTGTTTGAGGTGTTCTTGTGCTTCATTTCGCGGTGGATCGGCCTATCATGTTTCGTCTTTGCTCTCTTCAGGAAAGCCGGGGCAAATCAAAAGGCAAGAAGCTCTTGTTTTTATGCTCTCGCTAACGTTTCGCTCACAGGTACCTTTGACTTTCTCTAGTGGCATGCCTTTCCAATAGCGAAGGTTGTTTCCACAGGGGTAGCGTTTTAAATCTTCTTAGAGCCGCCGTCATCTCGGTCTTTACCTTGGAGCGCTATGCCGGTCTTAAACAAATCTGTCTTTTTCAACTTCTTGCTCAAGAGGTTTGCTTTTGTTTTGATCTCAGGTGGCAGCGATTCTCGGGGCATTGGAGACCATGGAATCGCATTCTAGCAAATGAAACAGCCAAGCTTGTAAGACATCTGTTTTTTTATGACAGTTTGTTTCTCTCTTTTGGCTTACTTAACCGATAATGTTCCGAAAGCACTTCTTTTTCTGTCCAGTGCGCGCGATGACGTTCGAGTGCAGGGCCACCAATTCACTGGCCTTTGCAACAGTGAGACTTCTGTAGTCACTCGTTTTTGTTTTTTTTTTCGTGGAGCTAACGTTTGTTGTGCTTGTGAACAGTGCCAGTCAGGAGCGCTTGGTGGTAATGGTACCATGTCACCTTATCTATTCAAGGGCGCTCAAGCTTTTGGTGGTTTGGTGGGCGCTACACGTCTCGATTAAAGGCGAGAGCGGTGGTCATATATTCCAGGTGGATATCTTTTTCACTTAGCCCGTAGAGTCTACTGCTGGTCGGTGTACAGGATGGTCGGACTCCATTGGATTGGATTGGATCGGTTGGGTGTGGCTTTTGGCAGAGAGTGTCAAATGAGTTTCTCATGGATGGTAGCTGAACACGTAGATGGTTATGAATCTTTTGTTCAACGTGTGGCTGTCCAGTGGCTTAGATTCTGTTGCTTGTTTTCTCGGCAAAGAGAGTAGTCCCTTTTACGGCGAGAGATTGTAACGTGCTTTTATGAGCTTTTTCTTTCCATTTCTCATCGTCTTCCTACCTTTTGCAGGGCCGATTGAGACCGCCATCTGTTACTAAGCAAGCAGTAAGCCGCTCCTCCCTGTTGAGACGCAAAGCGGGGAGGAGAGGCTAATTGTGTTTTCTCGCAGAGACGCGGACGTTGTTCCATCGGTTGCGGAGTTATGTACAAGGGCCAGTCCCCATGACAGCTGCAGGCAAGCTGCAGGCAAGCTGCAGGCACGTATATTTCTTGGTTTGTAAGCTTGCGGTTTTTTGCGAAACGTGCTTTCTGTGCTGTGGGGGCAGGATGGTCAAGGGTGTAAATGCAATGTCTCCGTCGCTGTCCACGGGAGTACCAAATGCATATTCCAGCTTTGTGTAAAGCTAGCTTTCGTGGTGAGATTTCACAGCTTCTGGTTGGTTTTCTTCTCATCTTTGCCCGTAATGTAGCAGCACGCAGACTGTTCCTTCTGTATTCCAGGAAAAGACAAAGACAAGCTGGTTTGGGTAAGTTGTGCCTTCGTTCGTTGAAAGCTGGCATTTGTGATCACTGAAAATTCGCAGCGCTTGATACGTAACATCTGATATGATACAACTTGGCGAAGATAAGTCAAAAAACGAACGGTGGGTTTCCTCGTCTATGTTTAGAAAGAAAGCGGTGGCTTAACCTTTCCGTCACATACAGATGGATGGCTCATTGCAGCCAGTGAACTTGAGACGACATCTTTGCAAGGTGATCTTAGGAAAACAAAAAAAATTCGTACACTCCTCTTTCCTTTTTTTCGGTCCACGCGGCTTTTATTTACGGGGTTTTTGTGCTGTAGATTGCTTTGTAGATCTAAAAGGCAGGAGTGAGGAGGAAAAGAGCTCTTTTCCGGTAGCCTTCTATCCCCTCCGCCCAAAAGATGCCATTCTAGAGGCTATCAATTCAAGGGTCTACATCCACCACAGAGAAGAGAGAGAGGACTGGAAGAAAGAGAGATATCAAGGCCAGCAGCGTGGAATCAGGTGGGCAACAGCATTCTCCTCTTTTCGCCTCCACCGTATTCTCATGTGCCTGTGATCCGTGCCTCTTCTCCGGTTGTGCCGTGGTTCCTGGGTTTTCTGCATTGCTGATTGTTTTTCCGTCTTGTGGCAGGAAAGCATTGCTATCGCTATGAGTAGCTTGTTATGAACGGCGAGTTGAGGCTCCAGCGGCGAGATCTTCTCTTTTATGGGTATGGCAGCCGCTCTTCATTTTCCCTCCCGCCTCGTTCTTCTCAGCAGAAGTCCTTGTAAAGAGGCTTCTCTTTCCGGCTCGAATGGTGAAACGGAGTGAGAATATCACTCACAGGCTGTTCAATCGACAACTAAGTTGCAAACCTTCTGGCTCTCAGGTATGATGCAAGGAAACAGGGATACTGTATTTCCTTCTATTCTTCTTCGCAGTTGCACACGGTGAGGACTTTGTACGAGAATATTGTACCAAGTCATACTGTCTACGATGTGGAGTGTCCCGATCATACATTCCGCAAATTCACCAACGACGGCCAGTACTTGATAGCTTTCACTCGAAGCTTCCAGCACCTGGTGGTTTATCGTTTCAACTGGTTGAATTTTTGCGTCAAAGGTGAAGCTGAAGATGCCGAGCTCCCTCCGAAAGCAGCAAAGTTCGAGAGCTTCTTCACGGAGCTTTATTGTGTTGCTTTGGCCACGGGAACTGAGACTATTTGTAAGGATTTTTTCTTGACGACGGAGAATGGAGTCTATGGACTGTTCGCAACATCTACGGGCCCTGACGCTGATGCAGCTTCGGTTCAAGGAGCCGTTCCAGGCGTGCCATCGATTGAGAAAATAAGAATTCTGGCTGTGAGGTGAGCTTGCAAATGGAAACGTAAACGATGCAATTAATAACTTTTGTGTTGGTTTCTTTCCAGATTAGCGGATGGTATTATCACGGATGATCGTATCTATCATGACGATTTCATCCACTTATCTCACAACATGGGGGTGTTCATGTATGAGGATCTTTTGGCGATTCTTTCGGTTCGATTCCAATGCGTTCACATCCTGCAGATAAGAGATTCTGGCACTTTTGTAGATGTGCGAAGTGTTGGCGACTTTTGCCAGGAAGATGACGAGCTTCTCGTCAGTTCTCAAACTCAAGTAAGTTAGCTAGGAGTCATCTGCTTTGTAAATCTTAAAACAAACAATGTGTTGCAGAAAGAAGCATGGTATCAGAGCACACAAGCTGTCCTACATAAAGAGAACGAGACTACGGAGTCGAGAACCAGCTTGGAGAAGGATTCCAAGATCCTTCGCGACGACAGGAACTCAAGGAACTATAATGATCATGACTCCAGCCACATTCCCGTCGGATCCGATTTCGAGTGCTATTTCAGAGGGCTGCTTGGTGCCTCTTCTTCTGGGGCTGGCACATCTTCTCAAGGCGTCACCGAGTTGCCAATGACTTATACAGCTTATACACCTTTGATATTATCCTATGACATGACGGGTGCTCGTCACGGCGACCAGAACCAGCAGAGCAGCGTCAACAATGCAAACGCGCAGAGACGGACGGATTTCGTCCTGAGTAGCAGGACACCACACCAGCAAGATTTTGAAGCTAGAAGTGAGCTTGGTCATGTTGACGACTCATCTGGATTAACTTTGGGAACAACGGGAGAAGCTGGCCAAAATGTGACTCCTGTCTCCTCGAGTGGAAGCAGGCACGTAAGTGGAGGTAGAAATATTTGGGAGCCGGCGTATGCTCACTCACGGGATCATCATAGCAGCAGCATTGAAGCTACGACTACAAATGTTTCCACGCCTGTCACCAGCAGCAGGAATGACGTCGTTCACAGTTTGCCGAGAGCTTTTCCTAGAAGTCTAAGTGAAAGTAACGCAAGGTCTGGTCGAGAGCAATCCAATTCATCATCCGAAACAGGACCGCCGGTGCTGGGCGGTATTAAACAGCGGCTCCTTTCTTTTATATTCCGAAGTATTCTTGAGCATGACGACGATCATGTCCAGGTATTTTTGCTTGCTGAGATTTGGCTGAGTTTGAGTTGAAGGTGACTTTGCAGCGAGCGCAACGCTTGAAACGTTTTTACTACCACTTTCAGCATTACACGGAGCTGGTGATGTGGAAGGTAAAACACTGGCTGCCATTATTTCCATTTTTTATCCCGTTTAGCAGGTGCAATTCTTGGACCGCTACCATTTGCTGATTAAGTTTGGCAGTGCGGATGGAGTGGTCCGTATCTTTTGCTCGTGTCATTAGCAGGAATGTGATGTGTTAGCTTGTTTCTTGTGCAGATTTCTCGGAGCTGTGATGTTTCTCAGCAGCTTGCATTTTTCGTGGTATACAACTTTGAGACTACGGAGATTTTGGAGTTCCAACAGGTAGCTTGGATCGAGAGACCATTTTGTGCTGTTGATCTGAGGTCTTTTTCTTGCAGAACTCTTCCCTAGAATTGCTCCAGCTGTTTGAGAACTTCGCGGATCACTTTCGCTCCGCACAACGCTACCCCGTGTACATGAACTACGTGACATCGTTTTCAAACAACGTGTTTGTGCGAGAGCAAAGCCGTGAGCAAAAAGTAGCCTGCATCAATACCAAAGCCAGCAACAAAGCGAACAGCTTCGCACCCGTAAGCTACGTCTTTTTCTGTAAACCACTGCCTTTTTCTCTCAGATTGCTAGGCGTACACTTGCATCGTTGCCAGTAAACTCTCAGTCCCAAAGCCCTTCTGTGTATTTCGACCATTCACTCTTCCATTTTGATGAGAAGGTAAAGGCTATTTTTCTTTTTTCGTGCTGCTTCTCCACTACACTCACACAGCCTTCATGGACAGCTTATCTCTGCTACTGATCGACACAAGCCTTCCATGGAGCATCCTATCAAGTTCCTATCTCGAAGGAGACCACACATTTTGAAGTTCAAGATCAATCCAGGTACGCTATTTGCTCCAAGCAACGCAAGAAGTGAGTCATTCTAACACTCGCAATAAAAAAAAATTGCAGGTCCAGAGAATGGTGCCAACGAGACTCGGATCAAGCGAGTTGCTGCGTTCGTGTTCCATCCAATTTTTCCGTTTGCTATATCGATTCAGCAATCCTTCCTCCAAGCGTCGGTTGTTAACTTCCACTTCAGGAAATGACCCTCGCTCTTGACTGTAAACATTCTCTAGCGTATAGTTCTCAGCTCTGGATTTTTCTGTTTTCTATGAGATCGTGATTTTTGGCTTTCACAAATATAACGTGTTAGCAATGCATCAAATCAAATAGTAATTTACTAGCGTTGTAATAGTTTTTTTGCTATAATTCACTGCTTGATTTCGATTTAAGCGAAGTCAATCTAAGTCAAGCGTCTTAAAATTAGGTTATAATTCGGCGATGTGAGAGCGTGAATTCGTGGATTCGACGATGGGGCAGCTCAATCCAAACAAGCATTTGAAAGAAGAGTAAGCGCGCCTCGGTTTCCCTCGCCTTTGATCATTCCAAGCGTGATATCTTCCTCAGGTTTGTGAGCAACTTGCAAGGCTCTTCCAAGATCGAGATTGCGGCACTCTCGGCGCTCATACCGGTACCTACATCTTTGTTTCTTCTGTTTCCTTGTGAGATGAAGCTCTGGTGGAAGAATGATTGCAGGCCCTTGTTATTCTCCGGAGCTTTGCAATCTTGCCACAAAAGGGTTTTTGGACATGCCTCGCTTTGGATTTTACTTTCATTGTTCTTCCTACCGTCTTGAGCCTCACGGTAAGATCCGTGGTTTTAGTGATCGTTTTCTCACGAGATCTTCTTTCTTAACAGGTGTTTGCGGACAAAGTTTATGGAATCGCGCTTCTCGTTTCCATTCTCTTGGGAATGAGTAGTTTCCTGCCATTTCTGGAGCGAGAAAAGCTAAAGTCCTCTTCTATTCCATTCAAAAGGCCGTTCCTGACATACTATAGATTTATTATGGTACGTGTTTTGGCTCGTTTGTCCGCAACTTATGCTCCTAAACTTGCAGATACTGGTTACTTGCGTTACAATCCTAGCTGTGGACTTCACTGCTTTTCCTCGCAGATATGCCAAGACCGAGACTTATGGCACTGGCTTGGTGAGTCGATGGATCTTCGTTTGATGGATAGTGAAAGTTTCCCAGATGGATCTAGGCGTTGGATCGTTTGTTGCTGCGAATGCTATAGTCTCCAGACAAGCAAGAAGTCGAGATCTTCTGTACGTAACCTTTCTCGTTGTAGATGTCATGTAAAAGCCTCCTTTTCTTTCTTTGTTTCCTGTTTCAGAAGGACTAGAACCGTGGACATTCTTAAAAGCGTGAGTCCATTGCTGGCTCTGGGTTTTGCGAGACTTATAGCGACGAAAGGAGCAGATTATCAGGTTTTTCTTTGTGACTCAATTGCAAATGGTGAAACTTATTGGTTTGTTCAGGTTCACGTAGGGGAATATGGCGTCCACTGGAACTTTTTCTTCACTTTGGCGGCTGTTTCTCTTCTTACTTCAGTAATTCGCATGCCTGTTTCGTATTGTGGATATCTTGGGCTTGGCATACTGTCAGGTTGGTCGCTCGTTTTGGTGGAATGTGTCGTTTGTTTTGACACTCTTATGTCAGTGCATCAGTTCACCCTTCGCTGCGGTTTAAAAGATTACATTCTTTCCCCGCACAGGAGTTCCGGACTTGTTGATTTGAACAAAGAAGGCATTTTCAGCATCTTTGGTAAAGAACTCGCTTTCTGGAACTCTTCTGATGCTGCTGATATCAGGATACTGGAGCTTGTACCTCCTGTCTGTCCATCTTGGACAACACATATTTTTCAATCCGGGAGGCTTCTTGAAATGGATAGCTTCGTCCTCAAATGAAAACAGCCGCTGGCTAAGCATAGCGGAGCTTTGGCTTCTTGATGGGGCTCTGTGGTGAAGTCTATCTTTGCTAATACCTCGCTATTAACTCTTGTTTTTGTGCAGGCTTTTGGTTGTGGTGCTTGACTCAATCGTAGAGAACGTTTCACGCCGCACGGTATACTCCGTGATTTGCTAATGCATCTCAAAATCCTTCTTTGTGGCCAGTGTAACATGGCGTACGTGATGTTTGTCCTCGCCCAAAACTTAGAGGTATCTTACCATTTCACCAATATATTTTTGCACCATATAGGCTCTAACGCATACATTGTTGACAGGTTATGGCCATCTTTGCCTCGGCGGAAGCGTTTCTCTCATCAAAACTCGTCCTTGTAGAGGCCGTCGACGACAATATGTTATTGACATTCTTAGTGGTGAGCAGCAAGCAATACTTTCATACCTCTCTCTCTCTCTCTCTCTCTCTCTCTCTCTCTCTCTCTCTCTCTCACTGTTCCTTACAGGCAAACGTACTCACTGGTCTGGTGAACCTGTCCATGGACACGATATTTGTTCTTCCAGGCCTTTCGGTTGTCATCGTGGTTGGCTACATGGCACTTCTTGTTGCCATAGTCGCTATGTTCAAAGTCTACAAAATTCGAGCGAAGTTTTGGTAGTACCAGCAAATTTCAAACGATTATCCGGTGGAGCAAGCAGGTTTCCTGCCGCACCACAGACTTTTGACACGCTCTGCAGCTTACATGTAACCAAGTAAAGACATCCAGGTTTCGGAAGAAGGCTCTCCAGGCGTGCTTCACAGCGCCATCCGGCTCTTCCGAGCAGATCAACCATTTGCGTGAAGAACATCAACCACGACATGGCCGCTCTGGTTTGTGATGCCATTGCGAGAGATCTGAGTGATTCATATAGCAGTTAAATTAATGTTTTCTAGTTAACAGCGATCGCTTGTACCATCCAACAGAGTAGAACAGTCGAACTCGTCCCCATAGCCTCCTCTGCTCTTGGGCCGCCTGTCTGGCAGGCGCCCAACTCGCATGAATTCCCTTCGCGGGTATCTGCGGCCCTCTGCGCCCAGCCACTCTCCACGCACTGGAAGAGCTCCAGAACAACTGTAGATCATAACGAATCTCATGGGGTTGATCCCCACGCACCCAGAAGCCACTGCCATAAAACTCTCCAAGCCCATGTTTAAAGGCATTTACCATGATTCTTGAGACTTAGATCATGGAATGTCCTCTAGAGAGAATCTCATGGCAACACAGTGGCCCTGAGCTTGTGTAAAGAACCAATATCCACAGAACAAATACAAACACACTCTTGGGCATCTTTTCCCTTGACATTGGCTAGAGATGCTACCAATAGTGCCTTTTCTTATGGCACTCTCCTTCTCTTTTACAATGTCAGTCCAACTTTGCTTCTTGGGCTTTATAGAAGATTCACTCTATCTTAAATCACCAGCCATCTTTTTATAAGAAGATGTCACAACAATATGAGGTTAGAGATCAACAAAGAAAACTTACACTCCAATTCTCTCCCCACATGCAAGAATCATTACACAATCCCTTTGATACCAAGAAGGCATATTGAACAAACTCATCACTCAAGCCATAATAGTCACTCCAAGGTACTTGGGACACTAATGGAAACATTTGTTGTTCAAAGAAAAAAACCAATATCTATAGAATAGACATAAGCACACTCCAATCCAAACCACACTCAAAATGCTCAGAATGTGCCACTCCAGGAAATAAGATGTTACTCCCATTACTTCCCACTTATTCTCTAACTCTGAGAAGATCTAGGAATCCCTTACATGTGTTATAGCTCCACCACCTCTAATTTATATCACTGCCCTATCTGCTTCTTTGATCACGAGTTTGTGTATGTACTAGAGAAAGGGAAGTGCCATTTAATCCATATGGCAGATGGTAGTATCAAGAGATTTAAGGAATCTTTGGGATTGCAATAGGAGAATCATGAGCGAGGCAATTTGGGGAGCTTGGATAAGTTCAGAAAGATTACTAATGAAACAAAGAAGTTTGAAACAATAATCCAAAATTCTAGGAGATGGCAGGCATCATAAACATTGCGAAAATCTTATCTATGAAGGATAAAAGGATGAGAATGTAGCTGGAACTCACCTTTATGACAACCACAACCCTTTAGTCATAAGAATAAGTTTATATCTTCTTTAGAAAGAAAAAAGTGTTATTTGAGAAGAATACCTTTGTAGCTTGTGAACAGCTGCAATCTAGTGGTGTTCATAACCTTGAAAGAAGTTATAATGGTGTGTTTAGAGAGAATTCTAACCTTGTCCTATTTTGGTGAGGTTGTAAAGAGGGAAGCTTGGAGTTGTTTGCGATTGGTTGTGAAAGCACAATGATCTTCAGTGTTTAGAAGTTATGAGAGAGTTCTCTAAGTTAGGGTAGCCATAAGCAAGTCCTAGTGCAAGGAAGAGCTCGTTACTTTCTTGGGGAAACTGAGTTAGAGAATCTTGGTGTGTATTGAAAACAGCTGCAAACCAGTCCAAGCACGTTTGGGAATAGAGAAGCCACAGTTGAGAAGTTAAAAGTAGGAAAGATTCACTGAAAAATTTGTGCATGGCCTTTCTTTGGTGTTATGAGTTGGTGGGCATAAATTTGACTGCAGGAAGGCCCCTAATTGGCAAGCTGGATGAGCTCAAGAGCAGCAAAAGTGAGAGGAAGGAGAATAGCCTAAGTTGGACATGTGAATCAATTTTGTTGCACCAACTTGCTAGGTTGTACATGCTGTATAGACATAGCAATCTCTACTAATCGCAAAGCATGCTTCGAAAAGACATTGGCTAAATTGAAGATGATATGCAGCCACTTTTTTGCCAACCAAAATGACCTAGTATCAGAAAAGTATTTACAAATATCACATAAAAAATGCTAAACGAAATAGGGCTAACTAAAAAATAATAGGGCTGATGGAATTAAGAATGGTGGGCGCCGCTATGGTGAGCGTGGAGACAACGATTTTGATCATCGGACTGCTTGTCTTGGGTATGGCGCTGTGGTGGGGTCTTTTGTGGAGGCACGGCCGCAAATCCCGTGCGATTATGCCCCTAAACACGGGCACAGACAAGGGAGCCGTCATCTTGCTTGTGCGCGAGGAAGACGAGAGGATCGGACATGTTGCCGAGGTTGAGCGCGAGGTGGATGTAAACAGCTTCTTTGGTCAGGCTTCTACTTTCGAACAAGGTCATTTGATTCTGAGTTGAGTGAGTTTGATTCAGTAAACATTCAATTGTTTTGCAGATGCCATGAGAGTCAAGCATGGCCATGAGGTTCAGGCCGCTAGCAAGATTGGTGGTGACGTACTCGGAGCTGAGTTTATTGCTGGTTTAGAAGAAACACTTGCTCGTCGGAGGCAATGGATTGATCGGTGCGCTTGCTCCCTCAACATCCATTTCAAGCTTCTTGAGGAAGGAGACTCTGGCAACACTCTGGAAAAGTGCGAGGAGCAGGATGAGTCGGATCAAGAAGAAGAAGAAACGCTCGTGACAAGTTCACACAGAGACTCATTGGCAGATCTGGACGTTGCTGAGGTTAGCTTGAAGGCAACAGCCGTGGAGGAAGTTGAGAAGTCAAGTGAAGAATGCATCATCTTTATCGAAGGTATGATCACTCTCTGCAGGGATATGTTAGAACTCACATGTCATTCGTTTACAGGTGACCAGATTGAGGGGGATCAACTTGTCAGGACTCCCAGGAATCTTGATAGTGACGATAGGATGGTTGTTCTTTCAGATGCAAAGGAGAGGAAATCTCAGCCTCCGGAAGTCGAGATGGTGGAGAGTGACCAAGCTCCTCGCAGCCAAACCCTCGGCCTTCCACGCCGCCAAAAGAGAGACCATCTTGACTGGGAATCTGCTATGGAAGTGTCTCGACTCCGCAAGAGAGTGAAGTACCACGCTTATCACATCGACTACTACGACGCGCAGCTCAAGGAAAACTCGATCCAGGCTTGGAGATCAGACTTTTCTTGGCTTGTTCACGAGCCTGCGATCATGAACGAGGATAAGATGAGAAGGAGAAGGGAGTCTCATATTGACTTCTTCAACGGCTACACCGCTGAGCTCGAGAATTATTACAAAGGTACGACGATCTAAACTTTTCCATGATAGAAAGCTTAGCTACGATTGTTCTGCAGGTGCGATTAATAGCGAAACCAAGATGGTGCTTGATTTCGAGCATGTTCCTGCGTCATTATGGGAGTGGATCGAGCCGGACAAGCAAGATTGGAGAGATGGAGATCTCAAAGGAATGAGACATGGCTGTAACAGCTTTTCTGGTCACGCCTCTACTATCAAAGAAGGTAACGTGATTCTGAATTTGATTCAGTAACCATTCAATTGTTTTGCAGATGCCACGAGATTCAAGCCTGGGCATGAGATTCAGCCCGCTAGCAAGAATGGTGGTGACGTACTCGGAGCTGAGTTTATCGCTGGTTTAGAAGAAACACTCGCTCGTAGGAGGCAATGGATGGATTGGTGTGCTCGCTCCCTCGACATCCATTTCAAGCTTCTCGAGAAAGAAGACTCGGCTGGCAACACGGGGAATGCTCTGGAAAGGCAGGAGGAAAAGCCCGTGAGAAGTGGTGACTCAGAAATGATCAAAGTGGCAGATCTGGAGGTTACTGAGTCGAGCTTGAAGGTAGCAGCTGTGGAGGAAGCAGCTTCTTCCAGAATCAACGAGCTGGACGTTGTCATAGCTGTGGGTGACCAAGCTCCAGCTTCCGCTGTGGAAGAAGTAGCGAACCATGATCAAGCGCCAGCTCCTTCCCGACAAAACGGACAGGGGAATCTCGACGTTGTCATAGCTGTGCAGGAAGAAGTGCCATTGTTTTTAAGTGGGGAGGAGGATCGTGATGGAGTTGAGAAAACGAGTGGAGCCTTTCCTCGGGCTGCCGAGCACGCGGATCTTCTTGGCCGTCTTGCAACATGGTTTGGTGGTAGAAGAAGAAAAGTGGACAGAGCAACTTGCGGGCTTCCATCTCGGGAGGATGGACCAGTACAGCTCTTTTACGATCATAAGGACGACAGTTACAAACAACTTGGGGAATTTTATGGCACAGGGAAGGTGTGTGTGGAGATCGTTCGGTGAGCGTTGCCATGACGGAGAAGAGAGCGCAGCTCAAGGTTCTCAAAAGTTTCCACCACGAAAAAATTTCATCTCGACGAGGAGCCGAGATCCTCACTGAGGAGCTCGCGGGGAGGTCCAACGACGATTAGCAAACTTAGCTACTATATCATGACAAACATCATCTACGAGAGCGTTCGTCACGCAACAGCCATAGATGGTTTCTGCAGCAAGGTGATCTTCACCTGGTCACTGACTGTGGAGTAGAGCGCAAACTTGTGCCAGTACCTGAATGGTTGATCTCTTTACTTTAAGAAACTACTTATTAATATATATATTAACTTCGTTAGAAAGAGGAACTCACATGTGCCAGACCATAAGAACAATCCCCAGTGCGAGATCCCGACGACATGATCTCCGGTTCTATCTTGTCGGGCGGCCTCGAGCGCGATCAAACAGGTAGCCTCCATCCAGCGGGAAGATATTCATCACTGCTAGATTCAACTTGTAACAGCGTTAACAGCCCGGCAACATTCGACCTTGCAACCAAAGCTCCCACCGCAACGATGGCAACCAGGCCCGAGACTTTGTTCGCGGTTTTCATCACCATCTGCGCCAATCCCTCCACGACTTTGCTGCCCATCTTCCAAAACTCGCGGCTGGCTTGCACGGTGGCGTCCGCCGGTGGATGTTTGGCAAGAGCTGGACGCCAATCCTTCCATACTCATCCTGTCCAGTTCCAGAGCTTTGGCTTCTTGATGGGGCTCCGTGGTAAAGTCTATTAACTTTTGTTCTTGTGAAAGTGCTCGACTCAATCGTAGAAAAATGGGTCACGTTGCACGAACTAATGCATCCCAAAATCGTTCCTTGTGGCCAT